CAATGTTCTCAAAAGGAGCCCCCCCCTCGGAGGCCTGGAGCGCTTCCCCAGGACCTCCTTTTCATCCTTAGTCGTTTTCTGACGGCCCAGGGGCGCAGCAAAGGCCCCCGAGGTTCCGTGGCGATTTTTTTTCAAGAGGGGACAAAAACATCCAAACGCAATTAATCGTCGACCCCCAAGAAAAATGTTGGAAAATATGGGAAGTGGGGGGGGGGGACACGAAAACACAGAAAATTTCGGAACATATGAGGAATCCTGCTATTTGTGTGTATTTGTGTGTCCCAGCGCCCCTTCATTTTTGGGTGCGCAAAGGACGCCCCCGGACCTGCCCCGGGGTGCGTGCCTGCTACAGCTCCGAGGCGGGCCTGGCCGTGGCGACGACGGGCCCCCACGAGTCCCAGGAATTCTCGACGCTCCGCGCATCCCCACCGGGCGACCGTAGCCCTCTGGCTCAAGCCTTGGCTCAAGCCTTGGCTCAAGCCTTGGCTCAAGCCTGGCTCAAGTCTCCCGTGCTCAAAGGGGGCGCCCGACGCATCGCCGCGCGGCCGCCGCCGCCGCGCGCGCCGCATTCGCGGCATCCCCCGGCGAGGCATCGCTCAGCCTGGCCTGGCCCACGCCTCAGGCACCAGCCACCTCTTGCAGTGCTGCCTTCCGTACCCGGCGTCGCTCCCCGGCGCCGCTCGGCGGCAGCTTCGGCGGCAGTTCGTTCGCGCGCTTAGGTAACCAGGTTTGGCTCGTAGCCCGGGCGGGCTTCGGACGCCGCCTGCGCTTCCGCTTGCGGCCGCGACGAAAAAGTATCCCCACCAGCCCATACAGAAACGATGACCAGGAGAGCTGACGGGAGAAGGGATGAAGAGACGCGCATAGTGAAACAGCGTAGGCGACAACGGTGCATTGGGAGATCTTTGGTAGCGAGTGGTGCGGGTGCTGCTGTTGGTGTTGTTGCTGTTGCTGGTGCTGGTGGTGGTGGTGGTGCTGCTGCTCCGACTTCCGGCCCTTGCCGCCGTCGTCATCGTCGTCTTCGTCTTCGTCGTCGTCGACTCTGACGTCGCTGCTTTCGCCGCGAGATGGGGGGGGGCGGAGGAGGAGGAGGAGGAGGAGGAGGAAGTGGACAAGGAAGAGGAGGAGGAGGAGGAGGAGGAGGAGGAGGAGGAACAGGAGGAGGAGGAGGAGGAGGACGAGAAGGAGGAGGAGGAGGAGGAGGAGGAGGAGGAGGAGGAGGAGGAGGGGGAAGAGGATGTGGGGGAGGGAGAGGAGAGGAAAGGAGGATGAGGAGTAGGCTGAAAAAGTAGGGAGAAAGGAGGAGGAGGCGGACAAGGAGGACGAGAAGGAGAAGGAGAAGGAGAAGGATGAGAAGGACAACGAAAAAACATGACGAACATAAGAACCTCCTAGGGGGTCTCGTGGGAGTTGTTTCGGAGGCCTCTTGGAGCGTCTGGGGGGCATCTTGGGTGCCTCGGGAGTCCTCTTGAAGCCTCTTGGGGGCCCTCTTGGGGGTCTCTTGGGAGCCTCTTGGAGGCCTCTTGGGACCGTCTGGGCGCCTCTTGGGGCCCTCTTGGGACGCTCTTGGGAGCGTTAGGGGCGCTCTTGGGGCCATCTTGGAGGAGATCGATCAAATAAGGGGGGGTCCTTAATTTGCGCTGCCCTTCCAGAACGCCAGACATCGCCTCCTGAACCGCTCTTGGGGCGCTCTTGGAGCGCTCTTGGGCGCTCTTGGGGCCGTCTTGGGCCTCTCTGGGTCCCTCTTGGGGCCCTCTTGTGCCATCTTGGAGCCATCTTGAGGCCTCGGATGGCCATCGGAAGCAAAACGGCGAGAAGGCAAAGATCATTGATTTTCCCTTAGTTGTTTTTGAAGGATGCTGGCTTCTTGGAAGCCTCATTGGGAGTCTCGGAGGCCTCTTGGAGCCGTCTTGGAGCGTTCCTGGGGCCTCTTGGAGCATCTTGAGAGCCATCTTGACGCATCTTGCGCTATCTTGAGCCATCTTGGAGGTCATCTTGGCCTCTCCGAGGCCCTCTTGGAGCCATCTTGGGCCATCTTAGACGCTCCAACTCCTCGCGACCACCCCCGTCCAGGTCCAGGGAAGGTGGTAGGGGGAGGGGTGAACCCCTCCCCGGAGGGGAAGAAGGGGGTTGGCAGAGGAAACTCCCTAAATCACCTACGCCCAGAGGGCTGGTGGGATTATTCCCAGACGCAGACGAGAGGACCAGACGACATTTCGGGGGCGAAGCCCTGGCCCATGGTGGCCCCAGCTCTTTCCCTTCATTTTGGAGCCCCTCGGGCCCCCCTGTGCCTCGTGATGGGGTGTTCTGGAGGCCGTTTAGGGCCTCCTTGGAAATCCTGGGGGCAACTTGGGCCAGGGGCAATTCTCGGAGGTTGATAGACCTCCTACCCTAGCCTGACACGTCGATTAAGGAATTGGCCGTTTTTCGGTTCGCGAGAGGGCGTCGCGGCCGTCATTTTTGCGGATCCAGGTCCGTCGGTTTCGGTCCTAGGCCGTTTTCATTAAGGGGAGGTTTACCAAAGGGAGGTTTATCCAACGCCGAAATTCTAGCAGCACCTGACTGTGGGGTGTTCCAAAAAGGGGGTCGACCCGTCCTGGACGCGAGGAAGCGATGGGGCCTGGAGGAGCAGCGGGCGCGTCGAGGGGGTCTTCTCGGAGGGGGGGGGCGGCGGGGGCACGGGCAACGTTGGGGGCGGATGCCCAGGCTCAGGGGGGAGATGAGGAGAGGAGGCTCAGGGGCACGTCAGGGGGAGGAGGAGATTCGAACGCATCTCTGTTGGCCAGGCGGCGGAAAAGAGCCGATCGAGGAGTCCGTGGTCCAAGGTCAGCCTTTCTCTCGAGAACGGCTCGCCGCACCGATGTCTAACCGGCGTCGTCGAAGTGCCACTCGGGGGGGGGATGCGAGAACGACCCCCCAGCCGCCCCACTCGTCGCCGCCCGGGGCCCGATGTCCCGGCCCGCCCAGGGCCGTGCGGCCTCGCACCGCCGATGCGAGCTCGATGTCCCCCCCTTCCCTCCTCCTCCTCCTCCTCCCTCCTCCCTCCTCCCTCCTCCCTCCTCCTCCTCCTGCTCCTCCTGCTCCTCCTCCTGCTCCTCCTGCTCCTCCTCCTCCTCCTCCTGCTCCTCCTCCTCCTCCTCCTCCTCCGACCCAGTCCCACCCTGTGGTTGGCCTCGACCCCCCGTCCTGCGACCTGGGCGTCGCCGCACTCTCCCGCTCCTTTCGGGGCGCCTGCGCCTCGGTCGCGGGCCCCCGCCTCTCGCGGATGTCCACGGGCCGGGCCCGAGGAGGGCGGGCGCAGGAATGACGGCGTGCGGGGCTCTGGGGGTGGTGCTGCACGGTGCCGAGCTTCGGGGGCGGAAAAGAGGGGGGTGATGACTAGGGGGGGGTGGATATCATGGCGGGGGGCATGATATTTCCTCAGATTTCATGGCGCCTCTTCTTATTTCATTACGTCCCTGGCCCCCCCGCTGGGCCGCGCACATGCCGCCGGTCATGATTTGCACCCCCCCCCCTCTTGGACAACCCCCAACAGTGACGCGTCGATTAGGGAATTGTCCGTTTTCGGTTCTCGAGAGGGCGCCGTGGCCGTCATTTTCCAGGCCTGCGCCGGCCAGGTTTGGGCCTCAGGTCGTTTTCACTAAACCACGTTTTACTAAAGGGGGGTCTGTCCATCCCCGAGTGCTCCCAGATCTCGGAGCACACTCGTTTGTTTTCGATCCCGCTGGTCGTCTTCGGTTTCGCCCTCTCGGGCCCGTTGCTGAGCCGGTCCCCCCCCTATCGTGTCGGAGGTTGATGGACCTCCCACCCTGACACGTCGATTCGCGAATTGGCCGTGTTCTGTTCGCGAGAGGGCGTCGAGACCGTCATTTTCTTTGTGGGTTCAGGCCCGTCGGTTTCGGTCCCAGGCCGTTTTCACTAAAGGGAGGTTTACTGAAGGGAGGTTTGTCCACCGCCGATCGTGGCCCCTCCCTCCCCCCTTCTCTTCTCGGTTCTCTCCTCTTCCAAGCGCCGCGGGTCTCTTTGCCGCGGGCGCTCTGCGCAAACGAGCCGGCGGAGCCGCTGGAGTGCTCGGCACCTGCCCATGGCGATAGCCTCTGCCTGAAGCCGTGCCACGGAGCATCCACGTCAGCTCTCCCCCTGCCTTTCTTAATGGGCCTGTTTTCCACCACTACCACCACCATAAGTTGGAGGGGGGAGGGAAGGAGGTGGAGGATGAGGAGGAGGAGGAAGAAGAGGAGGAGGAGGAGGAGGAGGGGGAGAGGAGGAGAAGGACCCTTCCCCCTCCCACTTATGGTGGTGGTGGTGGTGGTGGTGGAAAATAAGCCCACCAATGATTGTTTCGTGACGTCGACCCGCAGGGAGAGCTGGACCCCTCCCCCAGGAATGTTTTTCACCCAAGTTATCTTTTGACGGTCCCGAGGCCTGTTAGGAGCCCCCGGAGGCCGAACATAGCGAGAAGCCTTCTGCCGTGATTTTCTGATGACCTGAGGGGGTCTGCGTCCTTGGACGTCCGAGGTCGTATGTTGCTCGCCGCGCGGGTCCCCAGGAGGGGGGGTCCCAGGTAGAGAGAGATAGATGTGTTGGGTACAGCCCAGGCCCCAGGTAAGGGGAGCCGACCAGTTCGGCACGAACGACATGGGTACGGAAAGAATGGGTACAATGCCCAACAGAATTTCCTGTTCATTTTGAACAGGACTCGCTGTCCGCGCCGCCGCGGCCTGTATCCATTTGAGACAGAAGGCCGCCTGCCCAACAGCGGCCGCTGATGGTTTGGGACAACGTTTGATGTTGGGCATTGTGCCCATGTTCTCCGTAGCCACTCCTGCTTCCAAATCAGTGACAGGGCCCGAGGCCCCCCAACCTGCTGAAATCATTGAGCCAGGTCTGCCGTAGCTTGTGTGTGCTTCCGGCGACGGCAGTTCTGGTTAGCGGAATGGGGCGGGGAAGGCGTCTCCTAGCACGCATCCCGTGACGCCCAGTCCTGCCGTTGCCCGAAGGTGGCTGGCCCGCCGGAGGCGGCGCAGAGTCGGCGCCGCTGCCGCAGGCCAGCCGCCGCCGCGTCAGTGGCGGTCGTCGGCTGAGGAGGGCGGAGGCCGAGGCCTGTTGGCTTCTCGGGGGGTCCACGTTTGGAAGAGGTAGCGCCCCGCGTTCCTGCCTCCCTCATTCCTCCTCCTCCTCGTCCTCCTCCTCCTCCTCCTCCTCCTCGTCCTCCTCCTCCTCCTCCTCTTTCTCCTCCTCCTCCTCCTCCTCGTCCTCCTCCTCCTCCTCCTCGTCCTCCTCCTGGTAACACAGGGCTCCCTGCGAACGGGCCGCTGCCTGTGGTGGAGGGGGGGGGGTTGAGGGCTTCGGGTGAGGAGGGCAGCGTGCACGCCTCTGCGCAGGCCTTGGCAGTTCCCTCGATCAGATGTCGAAGGGCTGTCGAGTCTCTGCTGCATAACACTCACGCAGGGGAATTACGCATACGCTCTACAATGCACCTTAGCGGGCGCATTGACGTTGACCCCCTCATGCGGATGTCCTGTCCTCCTCCTCCTCCTCCTCCTCCTCCTCCTCCTCATCATCATCATCATCATCATCATCATCATCATCATCCTCACCAGCTAGACTATAGCTCCGCCATCGATTAACTGGTTAGGATATGCGGCTTTCACCCGAGCGACCCGAGTTCGAGCCCCCGTGGCGAAATTACTCAATTACTCGTGGACAAGCGGCCCGCGTGGATGCTGGAGCCGCCGGCCACACCCGGGGCAGGCAGCCAGAGTGCCGAGCCCAAGCCGAAGTTGGCGACGCTCGTCGAAACGGCGAAGGGGCAGGCGGAGGGCGGCGGCGGGACGTTCTCAGACACTTCGTGATCATTATCACCAGATTCTCTCTCTCACGAGCGCAGCGGAGCTCAGGGACATTTGCGGCGTCGTCTTCTTCGCGTTCCTCGCGCCGCTGGGGGCGGCAACGGCCGCGGTCGCCAAGGCCGCGGGAGTGCAGTGCCACAAGCACCGTGCACCAGCGGAAGGAGTCCGACGGCGACGCGTCTTCCCTGGGCCCCCCGTGCCTGCAGGCGTGGGTGGCGCTGGCGAAGGGAGCCGCCCAAGATCCCAAGCGCCCAGAGGCCTGCAGGAAGTGCTTCGGGTGCTACTGGCGCGACGCGGTGCTGTGGAAGCCTCTGTTCGGGCTCGTTGGCGACGTTCGCCCATGCAGAATCCGCGCGGCGCGGGAGCAGGAGAAGAAGGCGGAGCGGTGTCGGCTGACCTTCGCTATCGACTCGAAAGTGCCAGAGCTCGAGCTTCACCTCGTGTAGTATCTGAAGGTGGTGGGCGGGGAGCGGAAGGCGGGTGCGGCCCCGCGGGGGGCCGTCGGAAGGATGCGGCGAAATTGCTGGATCGCATCACTCGCTGAGTGGCACGCGTGCAGGCAATGCGTTCGCAGAAGTGTGACGGAGAAGTGAGGTGGAGCTGGGATTCGTGGGGGGGGGGGAGGGGGCGCAGTCGAAAGGCGGGCGCTCGCCGCTGCGAGCGCGCGCGCGCGTCGTGGCCACGGTCGCTCGCCCGATGCTGGCGGCTTCTGCTCGCCTCCGCGAGCTGGCGGCACGAGGGGCCCTCCCTTCTCCCTCGCTTTCTCCTCCGAGTCTTGCTGCTGCTGCTGCCGCTTCCTCCTCGACCTCGGGGGCCCCTCGGCGGCCCCCGTCGGTTTACAGTCCAGGCTGGGAGAGTTCGGGCATCTAAACCACGGGCGAAGTCAGGTGAGTTTTCAGTCGTACCACCGCCCCCCCCCCGAGCGCGTATCCCCGCGCCTCTGGGCGGGCAGGAGACCCGTGGACAGCTCGCCCCTTGGCCCCCCGCCAGCCCCAAGCCAAGGGGCGAGCACACCACACACACATACACACACACCAACACACACCAACACACACACACACACCAACACACACACACACCACACCAACACACACACATTAACACACACATACCAACACACACACACACACCACACCAACACACACACACAGGGGCGCAGCACCACGCTGCATGAGTAGCCTTCGGCTGGGCCAGGCAGCGCAAGACCCAACACTACATCGCGTGGCGCGTGGATGCCCGCACCGACCACTCCGGCCAGACCCTACCTCCAACCCTCCCTTTCGCCACCTCCTCTTCGTCCTCGTCCTCCGTCCTCCCTGTCGCCCCCCACCCCCCCGAAATATCCTCAACCCCATGGCCTAACATTGCCAGCGAATGCCCTCAACCCCCTTACCTGTGAAATATCCTCACACCCTTCAAACTGCGAGCGAAATATCATCCCCCCCCGGCCTACCACTGCCAGCGACATATCTTCACCGCCCTGGCCGAACACTGCCAGCGAAATATCCTCACACCCTTCAGCGAAATATCTGCACCGCCCCTGGCCTAAAAACTGTCAGCGGAATATCATCATCCCTCTCGTTTGAAACCTGCCAGCGAAATATCTTCACACCGCTCGCTTGAAACTGCCAGCAAAATATCATCCACCCCTGACTTAAAACTGCCGTCGGGACATCTTCACACCCTTTGCAGACAATTGCCAGCGAAAGATCCTCACCGCCCCTGGCCTAAAAATGCCAGCGAAATAGCCCCTCCCTTGGTTTAAGATCGCCAGTGAAAGATCCCCACACCCTCCACCAAACCTGCTAGCGAACTATCTTCACTTCCTGGCTTAACACAGCCAGCGAAATATCATCACCCCCCAGCCTTCGGACTGCCAGCGATTCATTATCACACCCCTGACTTACCATTGCAACCACAATATCCTCCTCACCCCCGGAAAGGAAATTGCCGCCGAAATATCCTCAACCTTTTTGGTTTAATTTGCCAGCGATTTGTTCTCATACCACACGCTTCAAACTGCAATCGGAATATCCCCACCCCGGGAAAGAACACTGCCACCGAAATATCATCAACCCCTTCTTACTTAACATTGCCAGCGACATATCTTCACACACCTCGTTCCAAACTGCCAGCGAAGTATCCTCACTGCCCCTGGCCTAGAACAGCTCGCGAAATATCATCATCGCCCTGGGTTGGCGCAGCCAACGAAATATCTTCAACCGTCGGCCTTCAGACCGCCAGTGAAATATCAACGACATATCCTCACCGCCTCTAGCCTTAGAGTGCCCACTGAATACCCTCACCCCGTGGAGTTTTACTGCCAGCGAACTATCCTCAACCCCTGGCTTAAAATTGCCACCAGGATATCTTCACCCCTCGGAAATACAAGTGTCATCTAAAGGCTTTGGTGTTTCACATGTCAGTTCAGTCTTTGCTTACTTCCCGCAAATCAATGTACGGGCTGCGCCCTTTCGCACAACACGAGCACGAACACGAAACGGATTCCCCGCTGGGTGGCTCTCTTTTTCATTGCGAACTCACCCCCTCGCCTCCGATTCACAATTGCATGTGTTTGGGCCCTTCGCCCGGCTATGTTTGTCATGTTGGGGCGATGCCAAATTTTTCTGGAGTCCGAAAACGGTTCCCACGGGCTGAAATTGGCCAAACACATTTTCAAACCTCGAACCTAGATCGATTGACGACGGCAGCCAACGCTGCCGCCGCCGCCGCTGTCGTCGTCGTTGCCGCCGCCGTTTTTGCCGCTGTCGCTGCCGCCGTCGCCGTCGCCGTCGTCTTGGACGGCCACGGTGTTGGCGCTCAGGATGTTTTGGGACGAGAGGGGGGGAGTAGGGGGTAGTTCGAGCAGAAAGGAGGAAAAGGAAGGGAGGAGGAGGAGGAATTCAATGAGAGGATGGCTGAGGAAGAGGGGGAGCAGGAAGAGGAGGATCATGATGATGTGGCATGAGCACGATCATGATCATGAGCGTGAACATGTTCATGATGATGATGATGATGATGATGATGATGATGATGATGCTGATGCTGATGCTGATGATGGTGATGTTGATGCTGGTACTGGTGATGATGATGATGATGATGATGATGATGATGATGATGATGATGATGATGATGATGATGATGATGGTGGTGGTGGTGGTGGTGGTGGTGGTGGTGATGGTGATGGTGATGATGGTGATGGTGATGGTGGTGATGCTGACAATGCTGCTGCTGATGATGATGACGATGAGGGGGAGGAGGGAGAGGAGTTGCAGGAGGAGGAAGAGGAGGAGGAGGAGGAGGAGGAGGAGGAGGATGAGGATGCGGATGGGGAGGATGATGAGGAGGAGGATGATGATCAGGATGAGGATGAGGATGAGGATGAGGATGGGGATGGGGATGGGGATGCTGCTGCTGATGATGATGGTGGTGATGATGATGATGATGAGGAGGAGGAGGAGGCGGAGGAGGAGGAGGCGGACGGGATGCCGGGGTCACTGGTGGGACGCGGACAGCAGGCGCCCCCATTCCACGGCCACCTGTCCGCGCCCTGGCCGCCGGCGCTGGACGCGTGCGGGGCGCAGGCCAGGGGCAACGCTAGGGTAGGGGGACAGGCTGGGACGCCACTGCCGAACGCCCCCCGAGCCCTGGTCCCCCTAGACCACTCCAAATTTTCCCCCATATCCTAAGGATGGGGTTCTTTTTCCACACATTCTAAGTGGGGTTCTGATTTTCTCTACACCCGCGTCGCACCCGCGTTCACCTCACTTCCTCCTTCTCGCTCGTACACACACCACACCACACCACGCCACATCGCACCACACCACACCACGCCACACCACACACCACCACACCACACCACACCACACCACACCACACCACACCACACCACACCACACCACACCACACCACACCACACTACACAACACCATCCGTGTGTGGCACTTTCTCGTCACTACAGGGGGTGTGCAGGGAGTGGTCCCTCACCGCGGTCTCTATCCGCCCCAGGGTCGCAGGGCGTGGCAGGCGTGGCACTTTCTCGACACCATAGGGGGTGCGCAGGGGGTGGTCTCTCACCGCGGCCGCTATCCGTGCCGGTCGTCCAGGGCACAGCAGGCATGGCATATTCTCGACACCAGAGGGGGTGCGCAGGGGGTGGTCTCTCACCGCGGCCGCTATCCGTGCCGGTCGTCCAGGGCACAGCAGGCATGGCATATTCTCGACACCTAGGGGGTGCGCAGGGGGTGGTCTCTCACCGCGGCCGCTATCCGTGCCGGTCGTCCAGGGCACAGCAGGCATGGCATATTCTCGACACCATAGGGGGTGCGCAGGGGGTGGTCTCTCACCGCGGCCGCTATCCGTGCCGGTCGTCCAGGGCACAGCAGGCATGGCATATTCTCGACACCAGAGGGGGTGCGCAGGGGGTGGTCTCTCACCGCGGCCGCTATCCGTGACGGTCGTCCAGGGCACAGCAGGCATGGCATATTCTCGACACCATAGGGGGTGCGCAGGGGGTGGTCTCTCACCGCGGCCGCTATCCGTGCCGGTCGTCCAGGGCACAGCAGGCATGGCATATTCTCGACACCATAGGGGGTGCGCAGGGGGTGGTCTCTCACCGCGGCCGCTATCCGTGCCGGTCGTCCAGGGCACAGCAGGCATGGCATATTCTCGACACCATAGGGGGTGCGCAGGGGGTGGTCTCTCACCGCGGCCGCTATCCGTGCCGGTCGTCCAGGGCACAGCAGGCATGGCATATTCTCGACACCATAGGGGGTGCGCAGGGGGTGGCATATCCGTCGGTCCAGGGCACAGCAGGCATGGCATATTCTCGACACCGGGGTGCGCAGGGGGTGGTCTCTCACCGCGGCCGCTATCCGTGCCGGTCGTCCAGGGCACAGCAGGCATGGCATATTCTCGACACCATAGGGGGTGCGCAGGGGGTGGTCTCTCACCGCGGCCGCTATCCGTGCCGGTCGTCCGGCACGTCCAGGGCACAGCAGGCATGGCATATTCTCGACACCAGAGGGGGTGCGCAGGGGGTGGTCTCTCACCGCGGCCGCTATCCGTGCCGGTCGTCCAGGGCACAGCAGGCATGGCATAGGGGGTGCGCAGGGGTGGTCTCTCACCGCGGCCGCTATCCGTGCCGGTCGTGGCATGGCATATTCTCGACACCATAAGGGTGCGCAGGGGGTGGTCTCTCACCGCGGCCGCTATCCGTGCCGGTCGTCCAGGGCACAGCAGGCATGGCATATTCTCGACACCATAGGGGGTGCGCAGGGGGTGGTCTCTCACCGCGGCCGCTATCCGTGACGGTCGTCCAGGGCACAGCAGGCATGGCATATTCTCGACACCATAGGGGGTGCGCAGGGGGTGGTCTCTCACCGCGGCCGCTATCCGTGACGGTCGTCCAGGGCACAGCAGGCATGGCATATTCTCGACACCAGAGGGGGTGCGCAGGGGGTGGTCTCTCACCGCGGCCGCTATCCGTGACGGTCGTCCAGGGCACAGCAGGCATGGCATTTTCTCGACGCCATAGGGGGTGCGCAGGGGGTGGTCTCTCACCGCGGCCGCTATCCGTGACGGTCGTCCAGGGCACAGCAGGCATGGCATATTCTCGACACCAGAAGGGGGTGCGCAGGGGGTGGTCTCTCACCGCGGCCGCTATCCGTGACGGTCGTCCAAGGCACAGCACGCACGGCATATTCTCGACACCAGAGGGGGTGCGCAGGGGGTGGTCCCCCATCAGTTTCGGGCTCGCAAGGTGTGGCAGGCGTTGCATTTTCTCGACACCAAAAGGGGTGCGCAGGGGGTGGTGCCCTTATGCGGCGCGGGCTCGCAAAGTGTGGCGGGCGTTGCACCTTCTCGACACCACAAGGGGGTGCGCAGGGGGTGGTCCCCCATATCCGCTTCGGGCTCGCAAATTGTGGCAGGCGTTGCACGTTCTCGACACCACAGGGGGTGCGCTGGGGCTGGTCCCCCCTATCCGTTGCGGGCTCGCAAAGTGTGGCAGGCGTTGCAGATCCCCGACGCCACAGAGGCGAACGACAATGCCAGGAGGCTGTGCTTGGTGCAACATGATATGACCACGCAGGATCTGAAATAAGTATGTGGGGTTCCTCGGTAGCATAATTATTACGTTGACCGCGCGGAACGAGTACCTCCCACCCTAGATCATCATTCTCTGAGTCACTCACATGTAGACTCACTCATATTCAGACTCACTCATACTCATATGCACTCGCTCTTAGATTCCTGATGCTCAGGTTCTCATGCTCGGGATCACTCGTATGCAGACTCACTCACACTCCTGGTACTTCCGCGCTCAGACTCACACACACACACGCACACACACACACACACACACACACACACGTTGTCAGGATGTCTCAGGCGAGGCGATGGTTTCAGTACTCCCAAGGGGAGGCGCCAGGGGGTATATCACAGGCCCGCTCTCGCCCAGATTGGGGGGATGTCTCAGGCGATTTGCTGGTTTGGGTGCTCAGCATCCTTCTCTGTCGGAGCAGTTTCCGAGGATGTCTCAGGCGGTTTGCCTCGGAGCAGTTTCCGAGGATGTCTCGGGCGAGGCGCTGGTTTCAGCACTTTCAAGGGGGGCGCCAGAGGTTATATCACGGGCCCGTTCGCGCCCAGATTGGGGGGATGTCTCAGGCGATTTGTTGGTTTGGGTGCCCAACATCCTTCCCTTTCGGAGCAGTTTCCGAGGATGTCTCAGGCGAGGCGCTGGTTTCAGCACTTTCAAGGGGGGCGCCAGGGGGTATATCACGGGCCCGTTCGCGCCCAGATTGGGGGGATGTCTCAGGCGGTCTGCTTGATTGGGTCCTCAACATCCTTCTCTTTCGGAGCAGTTTCCGAGGATGTCTCAGGCGAGGCGCTGGTTTCAGCACTTCCAAGGGTGGGCGCCAGGGGGTATATCACGGGCCCGTTCGCGTCCAGATTGGGGGGATGTCTCAGGCGATTTGCATGTTTAGGTTCTCACCATCCTTCTCTTTCGGAGCAGCTTCCGAGGATATCTCGGGCGAGGCGCTGGTTTCAGCACTTCCAAGGGGGGGCGCCAGGGGTATATCACGGGCCCGTTCGCCGATTGGGGGGATGTCTCAGGCGGTTTGCTTGTTTGGGTGCTCAACATCCTTCTCTTTCGGAGCAGTTTTCGGCGCCCTGATCGGTGTTCAGAGGAAAAGAAGGAGAATGAGGAGGAGGACAATGAGTATGAGGAGGAGGAAAGAAGGAGGAAGCAACTAGTTCAAGTCGTCGTAGTCGTCGGCGTCTCTCTCGGCGTTGTCTTCCACATGAATTCGCTGACACTCAGATATTGGAAAGCATGCCATCACTAGCACAGACATCAGACAATCACTGTACTTGCTGACAGTCAGTCAAACAGATGAATCCGCTGACACTCAGACATTCGAAAATCCCTATGAGATGCACATATAGGGATTTCCACGTCGAGTATTTTTTGGAGAACGCCAAATAACATGCTCTGGAGCCCCTTGAACTCACCCAGCCTTCTTCAAGCATCAAGCATTAAACTCCTCCCCACCCCATTCCTCCACATCCCACTCCCTCCTCGTCGTCCTGGGAGCTGGCTGGAGGTCCGTGGTGGCTCAGCACCAGTTCCCGCGAGCAGGAAAGGGGGGCGGGGTGGCGAGGTTCGAGATTTTGGGTTAGCGATTTTTTTGTTGTTTGCCTTTTCCCTCCAGGGGCCGCTTTCGGGCCCCAGGACTGCCAGAAACGGATCCGGGGTGAAACGCTGCACCGGATGGACCCCAGAAGGGGTTCGGGAGCCGATTTTGACCAGATTTGCTATCCTCCCGCCTTGACCAATGTTATCTCGGGCCCATCCAGCTCAGTCCTCTTGGCCGCCTCCAGTGTTCAGGGAGGGATGCACCGACCCCCAACGGCCCATTGATCGCCGATAGTCGAAGAAGAAGAAGAAGAAACGGCGTACACATGCACTGATGGAGGTCCGCGCGGATCTCTGTGATCTGCGCTGGGCCCCCCTGGCGACGCCTCAGCGCAAATCCAAGAAATCTGCGTTGGCCCCCGAAAGTCTGTGTTGATGCAGCTGTTTCTTCCTCTGGGTAGGGGCCCGATAGCTCATCCCGCCCAGCATCGTGCACATCGCCGATTCCAGTTTGGAGGCGGCGGGGGGGCTGAGTTGGATGGGCCCAAAGAGAATCGGTCAAGTGGGGGCCGAAGCCAAACCCAGTTAAAGTCGGTCCCCAGACCCTTCTCTCACCACCCACCAAACCACCCCAACCCAACCCGAAGGCTCAGATTTACCCTCGATTTCCAGTGGGGGGGGGGGTCGGGAAACCTTGAAAAACACATGTGGAACCCTTACCCCCCCAGCCCGAAATTCGGGTCTTCGGGTTGGGCTGGGGTGGTCTGGCAGGTAGTCATTCTTGGGGTCCGCTTGGCGGAGTCTTTCGCCCCGGAGTCCTCTCTGACGGTCCCCGGGGCCCGAGAACGGCCCCTGCCATGGAGGCCGACAGCGGGCGGATGGTTCCCCGAGCCCAGGACCTCGAGCCTCGCCCCCCCGTGTTACTACGCCTCCTCCTCCCACTCC